ACACACACACACACACACACACACACACACACACACACACACACACAAATCTGCCGCCAACTTGAAAACAACATCCTCTAAAAACAGATTCCATGGCGGTCTAATGACAGACAGCACACGTTCATGTTGAACCTTTTGAGGGATTCTCTGCGTGTCGCTCAACGTTTCAACACCTCGCAGGTGAAGACCGCGATGCGTCCGCTGCGGTCGCTACAGACTGTGTTTGTGTCACCAGCAACGCTCGAATGACTGATGTGAGTCTGTGGTATGGTCGAAGGTATGTCACCGAGAAAAGCAAAAGGTTTCAGTCTGCTTCTTCTTCAGCTGTCTGTTTGTGGAGTTCAAGTGTGCCTCGGTCCTAATGGTGAAATGATTTTGTTTTATTTAGCCGAGCTGCTGAAATGTGCTTGTACATATTATCGTTATATATATATATATTTAATAATGTTATAGTTTATAGTTCAAGGAAAGTCTTTGTTTGTTTCCTGCCAGGTTTCATGACAATAGTTGTTTCGTGACTTCTAATAGTTGTTATTTCACTAAATACCACGAATGTGAACCTCATGGTGACGCAGGAGTAAAAGTTGAAGGATTAGGAAAGTCAGTAGCCTCAATCATCTGGGAACCATGAACGAGTGAATGTCAAAAACCCTTTTTTTTGACATTCAGACGCTGGAATAAATTTGTCTTGGTTTTCACTTTCAGCTGCTTCCCCCTAAAATCACGATGTTTTCGTGGTGCGAACAAAGACAGTATATAAGAAGGGACGTAGTCTTTGTTTTGAACCCTTGAGTTCGACGTTTTGTCCGTCGCCATTTTGGATTTTTTGCAACCAGTGAACAGGAAGTGACCATATCTGGACTGAGGAGGAGTGACGTAGAGACGCCGTATACGTCTCTGGTGTCGACCTGTCAATCACCGTGTAGCCCCGCCCTAAAGCATCCCCTGCTTTATGGTCTGTGTGACTCTAAATGGACCATAATGTACTAAATGAACATCATGCTGTATTGAAGAAGACTTGAAACTAGAGACTGAGACCATAAACTCATGTTTACAATGTTTACTGAGGTAATAAATCAATGGCAGAAAGGCTGCAAGGAAAAACCTCGTGATGACATCTGACATCACGCTGCACATTGCGACTCAAACCACGAGGACTCCATCGGTCCAACCACCCAGAGTATTTTCTCAGAAAGCTTTCGATCACTCACCGATCACAGCGAAGACAACGCCAGCAGAAATGACGTTGCAGTTGGTCTTTTCGTTTTTGGCCCTGCATGTGTATTCGCCCGTTGTATTCCCAAATGTGTGACTTTTGATGATTTCCAGAGTCAGGATCGGACCCCCGGCCTCCATCTGCTGCTGGTCGTGGTACCAGGTGAACATGGCGGCCGGGCTGGAGGGGGCTGAACACGACAGGCTGAAGTTGGCTTTGGAGCTGATGAACTTGGGAGGGTTTAGAGGACTGAGGGTGGCTTCATCTGGTCCGTCTGTGGAACAGCAGCACATGGAAACGGGTGAGTTCAACTTGTAATAAAGATGGTGGTCACGGTTATTGACTAACCTCATGAGCAGGTCCACATTACTGCTCACAGCCGAGTGGTTTCTGCTTTCACTACAGCGTGACATGAGGATGTCCCTGTTCAATCTGACACTAAATGTTTATGAAACACATTGAAATAACAGCTGCAGCCCATTTCTCATGAGCTACATGATCCAGTTATTGAAGTTTCTACGATTAAACTATTTATTAACAAATAAACAAACTGTTTTAAATTATTTAGATCCTTCTGAGGCACAATGTTTTGACAGTACACATACAAATATATACATACACTGTATATATATATATATATA